AAAAAAAAAACACAAAAACAACAAAAGTCTTGCATAAAGAGCTCCATGGCAACAGGCAATGAAGTGACGAAGGGATGATGCTGTTGCTTTCCTGTTTTTGTACCAGATCACTCTTTCATTTGTGTTGTGTCCTTCCATGACGCACATACACCAACAAATAAAACATTTCCCAACTTGTATATTGGAGCGAGGGTACAGGGTCAGAGCATAACAAGATCCATTTTTTTTGCCAAGGATTACCAGTTTTTTAAAAATGTGAGATACTTGTGCAGACTGGGATGTGATTTGAAGAAATAACTGACTGAATTCTGTATTTTTCTCTTCAGATGGCAGCATCCCCTCCAGTGCTGTATCCAGCGCAGGCCCCTCGTCCCCGATCACTGACGCCTCCGGTCTGAACTTCAGCTTCACCGAATAGGCTGACAGTCTGAACAACACAAGGACTTCTGCTTATTTGAGGGCACAATGTGAAGAACTCTGTTTGTCCGTCTCCCCGTGCTGTAGCTCATCTTTCCCGCTATCCTTCTGCTCACATTCACAAATACAGCTGGAGGTGATTGTGGAGAGATGCCACTCTGCTTCAGTTATTATGCTCAAACTGTAAATACAGTCCCACATGCTGTATATGGACTCTTCTGGTGCCCCTCAACACTACATGTTCTCTACAGACAGAAAATGCTGAACTTCCACTGGGTGAAAATTTCTCATTGACTCAGTCCTCCTCTTCACTTTGTCCACACACACATTCATAAACCAGATCCCACGACTGCACAGCGAGCCAACCTTCAGACCAGTTGTGCCTTTGTTTTAATTTAGATGCTGCCTATGCTAAATCAACAAGTGCCTACTGTTTGTTTTTCTTCTCAGTCCAAATGCTGTTAAAATATCTCACACAGCAGCTGCCTCTTCTCTGACCTGCCCTACGGACATTTACAGCTGAAATGTATTCAGACAGTTTTTTTTTTTAATTCACATGAGATTTAACAACAGTTTGATTGAGCTTGTGGTGTATTTCAGCCTCAAATGTCTGCATGTAGACTGAAAGTTAAAGACTAAAGGAATAGTTTGATATTTTCATATATATTCCATCTTGCGGGCTGCAGGGTGGCGGAGTTGTTAGCACTGTCGCAGCAAGAAGGTCGCCGGTTCGCGTCCCGGTGGGGTCATCGGGATCTTTCTGCGTGGAGTTTGCATGTTCTCCCCGTGCAGCGTGGGTTCTCTCCGGGTTCTCCGGCTTCCTCCCACACAGTCCAAAAACATGTTGAGGTTAATTGGTGATTCTAAATTGTCCGTAGGTGTGAATGTGAGTGTGCTTGGTTGTCTGTCACTAAGTGTAGCCCTGTGATAGACTGGTGACCTGTCCAGGGTGTCCCCTGCCTTCACTCTAAGTCAGCTGGGATAGACTCCAGCCCCCCCACGACCCTAGTGAGGATAAAGCCCCGTATAGATGATGGATGGATGGATTCCATCTTGCAGAGTGAAGATGAGCTGATCCGTCATGCTCTCACATTCATCTGCAGCCACTTAGCTGAGCATAAGGACTGGAAACGGAAATCAGCCGGTCTGGTTCTAAGGTAGCACCTCTAAGTAGCACATTACATCTCTGGTTGATTAGTATAAAGGCAGGGTGCAGGAACTTACTTCACAGTTAGTCATTTGTACACCAAGGTTTTGTTTAAATTAAACAAAGGATATTTAGTTTTAGTGAGCTTCACAGTGTTTTTTTTTGTTTGTTTGTTTTGTTTTGTGAGCTTTTCGTTTCTATGATTTTGTTACCTTGGACGGAGGCAGGTGAGCTGCTTCCTCTTGTTTCCAGTCCTTGAGCTACACTTAGCAAAATGGCTGCTGAACTTGAGAGTAGAATCTTTCTTTTCATCTTAAGCTTTGATTGAACACCCTTGCAGACTCAGACACAGTCAGCTGCATACATCACAGACATGTTATTGCAATACCGTATCTGTGTATTCTGCACATGCGCCCTCACAGAACACAGAAAGTATAACACTGTCCTTGTGCTACTTTTAGTCACTTGGACATTGTGTTCTATACATGCCCATTAGATTGGTGTAAGTCATGCACACTTGCAGATGTACAATCTGCAACACTCACCTTATGCCTTTATTGTACTCCCTTGCAGACACAAACACCTACAGATACCAAAGGCATGTAGTTGTTGGTATTATATTCCTCCCCAGTCCACTTGGAGGACGCTTTTCCATATGTGCTCAGTAGATCGCTGTCTCTGTATTCTGTTCATGCACAGTGTTCCAGGTTGTGTGGACTCGTGCGTACTTGTGGAGATGACAGGTTTACAGACTCTTGTGAACGTGGAAAGTGTAACACTGGCCTCACTCTTGGTGAGCAGATCATCCCTCTGTACGATCAAATTATTCCTTTAAGTCTGTGTTAACATTGTTTCACACTGAATATGTGAATTATAAAAATGATTCTGCTTAAAAAGTTTGCAGATTGAAAAGTTTGGACGTCATGCAGACATTATCGTGAAATCATGTAAAGTGCAAACCAAAGCGGGTGCAGCCCAGAGAGGGTCTGTAACATACAAAGATGGAGGGATACGGGTAATCGCTTACAAGTTGAAGATTTGGACCATGTAACATGATGCCTTTTAAATTTGGTTGCTTGTTGTTCATGTGGCTTTTAGTTTACGTCATACATCTAAAACAACAAGACTCCATTTTGAATAGTTTTTCAAATACAGGTATTTGTATAATTTCCCACTCATGCCAGCCTGATCAAACTGTGCTCTTTTCTATGTGCATCTGCTGTTTAATAGAAACGATGATTTATCTGTAAATGTGCCTTTAAATGACCTGTGAGATTCATATGGGGGGGATTTACAAATTTAGTTTGATGAAATCTGTGGTATAGTTTCATTTTAGAATTAAAGGGAAAAAACCACTTGATTAAGTGAAACTGGCTTTCATCTGTTTCTCAACAGATGCTGCTTGTGTCTGCAGTCTGCTGTCACACCAAATGGCATGTATATTTTTAATGTTAAAGTTAGAGTCTCTTTCTCATCGGCAATGCTCAGGTAGACAGGTGTAGGCTAGAGATTGAAATTGGTTTTCTTATAGTGTGACTGATCTCGGGGTCAATTCACTTTCAATTATTTAGCAGATTAAAAAATTAATTGTTGAATTTACTTAATAAAACTATTTTTTAAAATGGCATATTTTTTTTATATTGACCAAAACCTGTAAAATATATTAAACCAATAACTTATAGTTTTTGGTGTCATGATTGCTGTGATTATTGGCTTTAGCCAGCATCTTCTGCAGCACCAAAATATAAATGGAAGAAATAAAACCAGCCCCTGCTTCTTTCATCGTGCTTAAATTGAAACTGAACTGACCCCCAAAGCCTGGAAACATCTACTGTAGAACAAATTAATATATTGTAGTCGTCGTGGAAAGAGATCTAGATTTAGATGTCAGTAGGATTAATTAATTTTGACCTAAAGTTGGGTTGATGTAGGTAGTTTTAACTGTATTTATGTGATTGTTTAATGTGCTATTTAATGCCAGCCAAAGAGAGAGGCGTGTTTTATGCCATATGTTTTATGGCTGCTGGAGAACAAAGTCGTGGTTGTAAAATGTGTTTCTGTCTGATGAGGTTCATGTTGGGCTGTGATGTTGTAGAGAGGATCGGGGAAATTAAAAAAAAATCAATTCAACTGTGAAAACGTTGTTCATATGTCATCAAGCAAAACTAATCACGTGTTCGCAACCTGTTGCTGAGTGGGCCTGACACTGTGTGTTAATGGCCCCCGGTGCAGACACATAAGCCTGTTATTGCTCCATAAACAAAGCTGCTGTCGCTGCTTGGCCAGCACACCTCCATCCCTCTCTTTTCTCATCCCTCGTGTTTTGGCGCTCCTCTCATTCCTTCGTTTTTCCATCAACCTCTCCTCCCCTCCCCTCCCACGCCTGACTTTGTAGAGCTCTCTTCTCCTTTTATCCCTCTCAGTTTCTCTCTTTCTTTGTTGTCCTGTGATCTCATGTCCTCCCCCTCCTCCCTTGTCCTTTTACCTCACCCTATTTTCACCCCTTTCCTCCTCCTTCTAGGGGTTTCTTCTTCATCTTAGTCTTTGTTCCCTTTCCTTTTCAACTTTCACCTTCTCCCTCATCTTCTTACCTTGCTTCATTTTCCTACTTGTTTCCACCTCTTTTTCTTGTCTCCTGTTTGTTTCCTCTCCTTGACATACTTCCTTTACTCATCTCCTTTTTTTGTTTTCTCTCCTTCCTTTGTCTCCTCTTCTTGTTTCCTCTCCTTCCCTTTTCTCCTTTCTTGTTTCCTCTCCTTCCTTTGTCTCCTCCCCTTGTTTCCTCTCCTTGTATTGTCTTCTCCCCTTGTTTCCTCTCCTTCCCTTTTCTCCTTTCTTCTTTTCTCTTCTTTCCTTGTCTCATCTTCTGTTTTCCTCTTTTCCCCTCCTGAATCTTGTTTTGTCCCACCTTATTTTTCCTCATGAAGGAGAACAGAGGGAGGATGGAGTACACCCCTGTTTTTTCCTTCCTCTTTTCTCCTTACTTTTCCCCTCCTCTTCCCCTCTCTTCTTGTCTCCTCCTTCCTCTCCTCCCTCTCCCCTCTTCTCTAAATGGCCTTTAAGAATAGTGATGACTCATGCCTTCTCCTATTGCTCCCATGTGTTTCCATGGCGACACCCCCAGATGTAATTGACTCCTCCTGAGCGATGCCGGATGAATGAAGGGGGAGAGAGACAGACAGACCGCCGACTCACCGGAAGCCAAAAGCTGATGTCATTCATTCTGTCTGGATGACAAGTCTTTCTCTCTGGCTTTATTTCCTATATTCACACACACAAATGCCCATTCATTCAGCTCTCATACACTCACACACTTCATCTGCCAACACACAGCTTTCTGTGGCTTCAATACAAAATACACAGTGGCTACTTTCATTTACAGCTTTCACAAGACGGCCGCTGTCTGGCTACAGGTAGTTTTGTGACCTTTATCAAAATGCACTCACTCCAGCAGCCGAGTCCAAAACACTTCGTTAATGCCTTTGGCTACAAAAGTGTTACAGCTCAGATTCAAGAGATGTTATCAAAAACTAGAAAGAAGAAATTGCCAGTGCAGGTCCCTCAGGGTGAACTTGCACTGTTCAGCAATGAAAACACAAGGATAGCATCAGATGTTTAAACGTTTGAAATAAATTGAAGTGAGGCTGACATCATAGACTGTGTAAAAAATGGACATCTAAGTTTTGCTGTAATTTTGCAAGAACTGACTGAGAATAACACTTGTGGGAAGGGAAATGTAGTCTTTACCATCTAACTTGTCTAGAGATTTGCCTTAGAGATGCCTTCAAGATCACACATCGAAACAGAAACAACAACCTGCTTGGTTTAAGTAACAGGAATTTTTGGAGAAAGTTTGCATCATGGCTCTACGTTAAAAACAATTACCGGAGGAATTGGAGAAAGAAAGAAAAAAATGATTGAGAGACGTCACAAATATTGAAAAGGATACTGAGAGATCTGTGACCAACTAAAAATCAGAATTAATCAGCTTCATAAATTGAATTATGTATAAATTTGCCATTTTAAAACCACTTTGTGCCTTTCTTCAAGTCTGCTTTCACTGTATGAATCAGTGTGAGGTTAAAACATGCACACATGGTTGTGGTTGTTGCATGGCATTCAGTTTATTTCTTGTATGTTTGCTGTGGCCCAACTATTCAGCCACAGATAAGGTTAGTGAATGGTAGAAATACATTTACAAATATTTTCCAACCTCATTTACATCTTTCTTCCTCTCAGCCTTTATTTTTTTTCTTTCTTTTTCATGTGTATTTCAAACTCACTGTGTCCTGTTCTGTCCCAGTGTTTAACTCGTAGCCTACATGTAACTGTAAATGCAAAGAGAGAAGTGGGAGGAAGGACAGGAGAGCAACTATCAGTGGTGTTGAGGAAACAATTAGCCTCATCCGACAGGAAGGTGTCCAGCTAGACATTTAGTGCCACCTCCACACCCACATGCCTTCCTCAGCTCCTCCATTACCCCCCTCCAAAGGCAAAATGTGTCGCCAAGGTAACTGGGAAGCGATGAGAGGGACGAGAAGGTAGAGGAGTCGTTT